TGATAGCTCGTTCCGCAGTGCCGCTCGTCTGGTGCGCGTACGGGACCGTTGTCTGCTGTTCGTTGCCTCGATCTTCGTAGAACACCTTGAGTGAGTTTGTCACGAACTCATGAGCTCCGTCATGGCGTACGAACTTGACCCGCTTACCGAATTGCATCTATACCGTCGTGATATAGCTCTTGAGGCATTCTTTAGCGTCCGACTTGGCTTGTAAGCAGAGACCCTTCATGCATCCACTGGCTTCGTCAACGATGAGCAGCAAGTACTTGCTCCCACCCAACGATTCTTCTTCCATGGGACCGCAGATGTCGAAATGAAGCAACTCGAACGTGTCGTAGCTGCGTTTGTCGCGATTACTGGGGAACGGCTTCTAGACTATTTTCCCTTGCTGACACCCGCGGCAGACACATTCCCCACTTGACTTCAAAGGTGCCTTGGCATCCTTGATCATGCCGTTGTTGACCATCTTGCGTTGCACGTCGATAGGAGCATGGCCCATGCGCGCGTGCAAGTCAACGTTCGACCCCGAAATCACTACGTTTTCCGAGCCTAGTGGTGTGCGCAGCCAGTAAAGACCGCCTACGAGATCTGCTGTAGTCACCACTTCCTTCGAATCTTTGCGCGCAACGAGCATACTTTTACCGTCGAACACCACTTGAAATGTGCCGCTTTTGTTGATCTGCGGCACCGATAGCAACTTCTTCTTCATCTTCGGCACGTAGAGAGCGTTGTTGATCTCGATCTCGCGCTCATCGCCGTTGGGCAGAACCACGCGCTCGATGATGGTCCCCACACCCTCTATAGCAACGTTAGTGCCATCAGCGACCTTCAGCTCGTCTTCCTCTCGTTCGTTCAGCATGACTTGCCATTGCAGATATGGTGCGTTGCACCGCTATGGACTGCCCACAGCCCGGACTTACCCTTGTCCGTCAAAACTCCACATTCCAACGAAATAGCAAATGCCACGCGATCATAGCCGTGATCGTAGTCGTCGTTTCGCAGCTGGACATTATTGGCCCCGCGTCCACGACTGTTACCGCCGCGTCGGCCTCCTCGATTCTCATCCTTCTGCTTGGTCCGGCACTTCTCAATCACGTGCCCAAAAAAAAATTTCCCGCAGTAAGTACACTGGCGAGACTTCCGCTCGGTACTGAACGCCTTCGCCGCATCTTCAGTCCTCGCCCCAGAGGTCTTCTCGCCTTGTCGTATGATATGCTCGTTCGTGAGCACCTTCACAACGTCTTGCGTATTCAGCTCAGCAGTACTCCTCTCCAGGTGTAGCACGACGTCCTCGTAGCTCTTGGAAAGACTGCGCAACAAGCAGATCGCAGCGTCCTCGTCCTCCTTCTTGGCGCCGATGCTACTTAGCTTGGCGCTGATGTTGAGAACTTCATTGCAGTGATGCAACACATTCGCGCCTTCAGACATCTCCACGCTTGTAGAGCTGTCGCTTTAGGTAAATACGACCAGCCTTCTGCAATCCACCGTACAACATCTTCAAAGCGCGGTCCACGCTTCCTCGCAGCTATCGACCACGTGGTGGTAGTCCGCATCCATGTGGAGCAGCATCAATCCGAACGCGATGTTGCTCGACTTGACATACGCGTCCTTCGCACGAGGGTAGGTGAAGCTTTGCGTCGTCTCTCGGTTCACGACATGCCATACTGACTTGGTCTGGAACACACCACGCACGTAGCGGCTCCACGTCGCGTAGCTGTCACCGTTAAACTTGTCGATGGAGACCTTAGTTGAAACGTCTTGCGCAGAGGACATGTTACTTGGTCTCATAACCTGATAGAGGTCACGGGTTTTAGGCAACGGTAGGCTTGTACGGAGCGAAGGGAAGAGTCATCACTCGGGGAGTAGACCGGAGCAAAGACAGTTGAGGGGAAGAAGGAAGATTCCGAAGTGATTGATTTATCGGAGCTTACACTGTCCTCACTACCTAGGTATCCAATCAATTGGTGCATCCAATCACCAACACTCGTCCAATCATCCTACTTGTCTAATTATCGATAGCGTAATCAACGTACCGTAATCATCGCGTGTTGAGCCGGTTTAGTTACCGGTTTATGGGTACTTAAATCCTGAAACCGGTACCCTCAATAATATGCGGCTTCCAGTTGAGCGGCAAACCGTCGTTGATGCTCCGCAGGATTGGACGCTTCTGTCTTCTCCTCCTATTCTTCCAAAGCCACCGTTTGGCCTTCCGTAACTTCTGTAACCTCCGTAACTGCTTGTTGCATGCTGAGTGCTTGAAACCTTTGTTCAAGTCGTATCGTTTCTTCCTGCGCTGGGTTTGACGTCGTTTTCGGGCATCCATGGTTTATATGGGGGAGGAGGGGCTCTAGGTAGTGCCCCATAGCCCCGTGAATGCAATATTTGTACATTGGCAATGCGGTCGTCTTGACGTACGTTTTGAAACGATCGGTTTGAGCATGATGCACCAATCCACGTAAACGCAGAGGCTTCGTTATATGCACGGATTTGACGGCGAAACGCGGGATCTTCGTTCAGCTGAAGCAATTTCCATGGCGCTGGGTGCAGTGGCGGCAGCTTTACCCGGCAGGCCGGACAGCATGATATCACAGGCTTGCCAGACCACTTCGCAGATCGGACAAACCGTTGTAGCCGAAAGCTTATGACGACCGTTCACCACGTCGTCACCCGATATCATGGAGGTATCGAAGTATTCGATGAACATAAGAACGTGTTTAGGACGGGCGCATTGGCGTCTAGTGCGCACGCGCTCGGGCTCCCTGCTGGCGCGATTTATTGGGCTCTTCAAGGTCTCAAAGGCACTAGGCGACGCGTATACACTTTAACTTCCTACAGCACTACTTTCTATGTCGCCAGACTCCGACGCCACCTCCCATCGACTATCCCCAGCGACGCCCCGCCCGGTCTCCGATGACCATTCTGCGGTGACTCCGGACGATGCCCGCGGTGTCGCAGCTCCTGTTTCTCTCGCTCCAGATCCTGCACACGCTGCACCAGCCGATCGAGGCGCTGCGCGATCGCGGCGTCTTCCAAGCGCCCGTGACACACCCTTTCAGCGTGACGGCCCCGCTCCTCTTGTCGATAGCGCGGATAACCTTCGGCACATCGTTGATCAATCCTGAAGCACGAGGATCATCGTGCTGTAGCCACGTCCGCGCAGACGGGTCGCGGCGCTCGTTGCCGCGACGTCGCCATCCCTCCGCTCCGTCGTTACCTCATTCGCTGGCTCGACCCCATGCCGGGTAGCTGGGAGCCTCGCGCCACCCTTCTTGCCGACGTTCCGGACTTCGTTGAGGTCTCGTACCAGCGGCAGATCGTCCGTCGCACCTAGACTTGCCGGGGTCCTCCGATAGCGCCCAAGAACACCTTGTTCCACGGCAAAAAATGCAATAGCTTCAGCGATACGCGCCTCTCCGCTTCGTCGGGTCGCGAGACGCCGCACTCGCGACAGCGCTGACACCCGTCTTCCCAGTGTGATGTACAGCACACTGGGAAGATGGGTGTCAGCGCTAAGCCTGCAGACTTGACCGACCAGCGCCCAACGGTCACCCGGTGTGAGCATCTTCGCGCGCGACCAGCATGCGCTCAAACACGTCACCTCCTTCCTTGTTCCAGCGGTGCAGATACGACGTCCAGGCCTTGTCTAGGGACTGGAGGGAATACCCTCCAGTCCCTAGACACGGCCGCGACGGATTTGCGTCGCGTCGCTCGGAGCCCTTCGAATAGCGTCTTCATCTCGCTGTCACTGCGCGCGTTCACGAAGGCGCTGCAGTCGTCCAGCGCCCACCTTTCGAGCAACTCCGCATAAGTGGCCGAGTCGTCTTCCTGCTCACTCATGCCGTTCGAGGCAAAAAGAAGATTGCTGCATGCGTTCTCCGTGAAGTGAGGGGTGGTGTGACGGGACATCATCACGCATTGTCACCGCGGTGGTCGATCAGCTTATAGAGTACATTTACTGGTTGGCGTGGTCTCACGACCACGCAAACCGCTAGCTTTTAATGTCAGAGTTATATTTGCTTGCTTCCTGATGCTACGTAACGAGCTGGCTTAGCCCCGTTACATTACTGTAATATCAAAAGAGATGCGTGATTTATGTGTTTACTACGTTTAAAAAATCAAAGCTCTATCCCGATCACGGGTGGATGTGTCGATGGATACAGCCTGTATACCACTCGAAAGATTGCGCGAGAGTGGTCCTTTTTCAGTTTTGACGCAAAGCGTGCAACTAGTTTTCCAGCTGCAAAAGCAGCCCTATTTGACCGCAGGTTAAATTATTTGGTGTCTATGGCAGAGTTGGTGGTGCCTCTAAGGTCTTCGAGCGCTGCTTGCCAACTGAGTGAGTGTGTACTATTAGCGGACAACCTTCCATCGGTCATTCGTCTCAATTGTAATTGTGTCGAATAGTAAGGAGTAGATCTACTGTGAAAACCGATCGTTATGCCCAATTTTTTTTTCCAATCCACCGTTTTAAAGCGCTGATAAGAGTGATTTGATATATATAAACGGAGGAAAGCTTATAATTAGATGGGCAGCCTTCTATTTATACTCCGTTTTATGATGTGCTTCGTCGTTCTTTTATAGCTGTTTCACATGAAACGCCCATACTTTGATGAGCATTCCGACCTTCGAGTGCTTATATAAACACGCAATGGAGATGGAGAAAGCCCGAGCTAGAGTAGAAGTAAAAATAGGCAAGTTTTGGTCGCACCAGCAGAATAAGTGTACCAGTTGAAGACGCTGAGTTTAAGTTCGACGAAGTACACGATAGCTTCGACAGTGTATATTTAATAGCAGAAAGAAAGGTAAGCGCATCTTTAGCTGTCTATTCTACCAAGACCACACGACCCGACATGAAGCTGTATATGAAGCCGATGCAGCACGCCAAGCAGTCGCAGTTAGCTCCACTTTCTGGTGAATCTTGGCTTACTGTGCTGTCTCAAGCTCAAGCTAACTACAAGAAGCAAAAGACATTTGAAGGACCATTTATCGTTTAGCTGCACATGTATGCAGCTAAAGAAGCTCGACAAGGAATTCGACGTGCTACGTCAGCCCGCATTGCTGCAGCGGCAATAGCTATCGATTCGTACCTGACAGAGCGCTCCGACGTGCAAGTCGGCAACATGGCTTGCACAAATTGGGCAATTAGTCAGGCCCGTCAGCCTGAAGGTGCTGAAGTAAGCCTTCCCAGTAACGCTACCTTTCGTCAAATGCAGCACTTGGACGCTATGCGTAGTCCGGGTAGAGATGGAGGCCACCAGGAAGGCGGTTTCCGAACTCTTAAAGTGCGCCTTAACGGCTCCAGCGAGATGCAGCTCACCATTGACATACAGGAGCTGCGAACAGCACTGGGTCTACCCAACTACAGTCTTGTTGCTGACGGAATTTTCTCAAACCTCCGCCCACCCCAAGAACCCGCCGTTAATATGGAGGATATCGATCATCAAAATGACTAGGAGAGTAGATTGTAATGCATTCTAAAGGCAAAATACTGCTTAAATTCTCGCTACGCTCGAATTCTGTGCGGCCTGACACCCCAAAGATGCGGCCCACTTGATCGCTCGGAACACTGTACGCATAGTGTAACGTGACGGCCCTCCATCGACAGTCTGCTGAGTACATGGCTGTAGCTCGACTGTTTAAAACTACTGGCTCCTCTGGCCTCTTGGCATTAATTACGATTAATAGCTCTCTATACCGATATACACTCCAATTTAGTAAATGTAGGCGCCTTTTACTTTCTTGCCCTGAGCACTTAAATTCGGATTTATAGTGCTCGGTTTTCACAATACATGTACTTATTCCTATTGTGACGGGGTCACACAGCACCTTGCGCTAGAGGAAGTTATCTTCCGAGAGTATACAAACTCTCAGTGAACGGCAGTTCACAGGTCCCCTCTTTAATTAAAGAGAGCGAAGTGACCTAAATAAGGTAGATTGTAAACTGAGTATATTTATAGGTAGGTTAAGTTTGTGGTTAATACAAACTATCAGTTACCTATAGAAATGCAATGTCATTTAACCAATGGTTGGTTTTGAATGACCTTGGTACCTTGTACCAAATATCCCGGAGTATGACATGTCATACTCCTGAAGTGTGAAGTGTCACACTTCATGTAACCAGGGTACACTTAGTGCTACGTACCCCGTTACATCCTCCCCCACTTAGGTTCGGTTTACCGACCAATCAGAATGAAGAGATGTTCGTCACAAACTCTCATTCTCAAAGTCGAAAACCATCGACTCGGCCGCGCGAGCGCGGCGGAGGCTCACTTTACAGTTAGAGCCTCGAGCAGCAACCTGTGCGCTCTTCGTCAAGGTCTCCACTTCGACCGTTAACATGCCTCGTGGCACTGCTAAGAGCGGTGCTAAGACACGCTCCAAGGCTGCAGCCGGTAAGGCGCAGGCCAAGAGCACTAAGCCTCACGGCAAAGGCTCTGCACTCAAGGAGGCTACTCAGGTGGCCTCCGAGGCGATCGGATCCTCGGGTGACGCGGCTGCGGACAAGCGCGCAAGCAGGCGCCGCAGTCCGTCGCCCTCGTCTTCAGACAATCGTCCGAACCCTCGGTTCGTAGAACATGAGTTCAACTCGGGCAGTGAGGACGATGCCGAGTTCGAGAGCACTCATGATGCTCCTGCGGGCTCTGTGGGAGGGCACAGCCCAGTGCCCAGTGAGCACAAAGAAGACAGCGTGCAGTCGTCCGCTAGTGATCACGGTGATCACAGTCCCAGGACCTCTGTGCGCTCTGAGAGTCCGGCCGTTAAGGCTAAGGGCACTCCCAAAGCCGGTGGCGATGAGGAAGGGAGTCCTCGCAAACGTCTCTCGCTTGCCGAGGGTCTTGCGCGCGCTAAGGCCTCTAAAGCCGAAGGCGCCAAGCCCTCAAAGAAGCGTACCGCCTCTAAGTCTCCACTCCGCGAGGAGAAGGAGACTCGACGCTCCTATCAGAGTCTCTTCGGCTCCTCGGATGAAGAGGAGGAGAAGGAGGAAGAAGAGGAAGAGGAGGGTGCCATTGTTGAGCCCCGGGAGGTCTCGAATGACCTCGACCAGCAGCAGGAGGATTTCCAAGCTGCCCAGCGTGTGCGTGGGGGTTCGGTGGCGGCACCCGTCAGCCAGGGAGCTGCCATCAACTCAAGAGGGTATTGGCCTCCCGAGGAGAGCTCTGGGGCTGACCTCTTCTTAGAGCTTCTTGTCGCTCCTCGTGGCCTTGTGGGCGGCCACACTTCTAGGGGCATCTATGAACGAGCCCTTGTTCAGAAAGAACAGTTGTTCGTCGACAACGTGGAGGCTGCTCGGTGTGTGCTTCTCGCGCAACACCGCATTCCCCTTAAGGACTTCACGACTTGTCGTAAGAAGCCCGAGACCCGGGGTGGTCTCTATCCTGTTTGGGGATACCCCTGGGCTATGCCCGAGAACTGTCCCACGTGGAGTTCCTGTGAGGACATGTTCTGGGCGTGGGTGGAGACTCTCAAGTACTCGCCCACGGAGTTATGGGAACTCCATGAAGATCAGCAGCTGTCCCACATCCTGGACCAGCGTGATCTTCGTGTGAGGTTTGCCCACTTGATCAGCAAGCGTATGCTGCGAAGGGACATCCTGAAGCGCGCGGCTTCTAGCGCTCACGATGAGCGCGGGTACGGTATGTATTCATCGTCCGTACCCCGTTCGGGCAAGAAGCCCCGGACTACTTATGAAGCTGCCGCCGCTTCTGTTCCCAGATTGCGACAGCCTTCGGGCAGTCAATCAGGAGCCGTTCAATCGGCTCCCACGAGTTCTCGGAGTGGGCATAACTCCTCCACTTCACGAGGAGCTGTCGCTTGCCGCGACACCGCTGCTCCTGGAGGATCCGCTCCACGTGGAAGTGGACTTCTCCATTCCGGTCAAGCAGGGGCGGAGGTGCCCTCGTACGAGTACGAGTACTCGGCGCCTCCCGAGAGCCACTCTCGTTCGAGTGCTCCGACTGCGGGTCCGACACGGGACCCTGAGGTTGACCGCCTCCGTCAACGTCTCCTCGTGCTTGAGATTGCACTTGGCCTTGGGACTGGCGGTAATGCTGCCGCCCAGGCCGGGAATCAGGGCGAGCTCGCTCGTCTTGCGGGTCGCCTGGACCTGGTGGAGCGAGAGGTCGCGAGCCTGCACCTGCGGGTGGACCGCCGGGCCTCTTCGTCCGATCTGGACGAGGCCTTTCGCATGATCCGACGGATCGAGGCTTTGTTGCCACGTCCGGAGCCGCCTGCGGCACACTCCCAGACGTACGCGTATGGTGCGTACCCGGCGTACTCAGCGTACTCGGCGTATGGCGCCGGGGTCCGTTCGTATGGAGCCCCTCCGGCGTACGGTCTTGACCGCAGCCTTGCCGTCCCGACCGAGGCTTGGGTGCCTGCTCCGACGCCCTCGTCGACGACTGTGACCGGCCCTCGCTTCGAGGAGCTGGGTCAAGGGGGGTCTGCGAGTCAGCAACCCCCTGCGGGTCAAAGTACCGCTTAAGACGTCCGACATAGAACGTCGGGTGCGTCGTCATTGACTTTGGAAGGTCGATGGTGTACGACGCACCATGTCTGGCCAGGACTGCAAAAGGTCCGATGAAGCGGTGCTTCAGCTTGTTGCTGCCGACAGAGCTAACAGTGTCTAGAGGTAGGTTCCTCGTGTCTAGTAACACTAAGTCACCAATCTCAAATATACTTAAGTTTCCTCTTCCATGTTTGTCTGAGTACTCCTTTTGTCTATCCTGGGCCGCTGCCATGGCATCGCGGACCCTGCTGACAATGTTCAGCTTGGTATCCATAAAGGATTCCACCTGTTTCCGCAGCGAAACTGGCCTCACATCCGAGACCTGGGAGGAAAGGGCTTTCCGAGCCTCTCCCCCACTTAGAATAGAGGAGTCAGTGTTTCCTCGAAGAGTGAGAGGCACTCTGGGGTGGCGGAAGCCGTTCAAGTAGAACGGCGTGAACCCCGTGGACGCGTGCACCGCGTTGTTGAGCGCAAACTCAACAACTGGAAGCTGCGTCGACCACGTACGTGGCGCTGCCGCGCACACACTGCGCAGAGTGTCCTCGAGCACTCGATTGACGCGCTCTGTTTGGCCGTCTGTCTGCGGATGATCCGCAGTGGACATCTGCAGACGAGTTCCCAGTAAAGGGAACAGCGTTTTCCAAAACGCAGCAGTGAACCGCGGGTCTCGGTCCGAGACAATCGTCTCCGGGAGACCGTGATAGCGGAACACGCCATCGACGAACAACCTTGCGGTTTGTTCGCCCGTCACAGTGACGGGAACTGGAGCAAGATGTACCATCTTGCTCAGCCGACACACGAACACCAAAATTCCGGTGTTGCCGTGTCCGTCGGCGGGAAGCCCAAAGATGAAGTCAAGACTCATCGACTTCCAACAATCAGCCGGTACGGGCAGGCTCTGTAGTGGAGCCGAAGAGTGCCCTGCGGGTTTAACCCGCTGACATGTTTCACATGTCTTGACGTACCGGGCGACCCACTTGTACATGTGGGTCCACCAGAAGGACTGAGAGACCGACAGAAAGGTCTTCTCGCGGCCCAAGTGGCCGCTGGAGGGCGCGTCATGCGCCTCCGCGAGGATGTCGAACTTCAGATCCTCGTCGTTGGGTACAACCACCCGTGGAGGATCAGTGGGCTCTACCCGATAATAGAGGAGGCCCTCCTTCAACTCATATCGGTGGAGCCGTGAGCGCTGTCGCGACGAGAGCCAGTCGGACTTCGCGCTCGTTCCGGCCTTAAGGAACTTGACGATAGGCGCGACAGCCTCATCGTCCCGATACGCCATGCGTATCCGATCATATAGATCCGTTGTCACCCGCGTGATGTGGGCCAACTCATAGTCGGGACGCCTAGAGAGGGCGTCCGCAAGCACGTTGAGCTTGCCCGGCTTGTACTCGACGCGGAAGTTATATTCCGCGAAGAAGGACAGCCACCTCGCCATCCGTTGGGAGAGGTGAGGCGAGTTGGTCGCCGTCCTCAAGGACGCGTGGTCTGTGTAGATCACAAAGGGCGTAGAGCCCAGAAGGTGAACACGGAACTTCACAAGGGCATATTTCATTGCCAGGAGCTCCTTGTCATGGACAGGGTAGTTCCGCTCGGCGGCTTTGAGCTGCCTGGACTGGAATGAGATGACTCGTTCCTGTCCAGCCGTGTCGTCCTGCAGCAATGCACACCCGATGGCGTAATCGGAGGCATCGCAGACGACGCTAAACGGCTTCGTCTCGTCCGGCAGAGCCAGGACAGGGGCCTCTTGGAGACTGGCCTTGATGCTGTCAAAAGCATCCTGGTGCTCTTGCTCCCAGCGCCAGTCGACGTCCTTCTGAAGGAGGCTCGACAAAGGCTTAGCGAAGCCCGCGTACCCAGCGCTGTACTTGTGAAGGTAGTTGGCCAAACCCAACCACTTTCGAAGATCCTTCTGGGATCGGGGCGTCGGCCATGCTGCTATGGCCTTGACCTTGTCTGGGTCAGCCCGAACGCCCACGTTGCTTACGAAGCAACCGAGAACTTTGATCTCTGGTGACGCGAAAACGCACTTGTCGATGTTGGCGTAGAGCTTGTTCGCTCGCATCACGTCCAACACTCGACGGAGGTGTCCTAGATGCACCTCCATGGCCGTCTTGCCTCCCTCGGCACGGCTATGGACGAAAATGTCGTCGAAGTACGTCTGTACGAAGGTACGCAAAGGGCGGAACAATTGCGTCACCAGGCGATTGAACGTCGCCGGGGCGTTAGACAAGCCCTGCGGCATGACGAGCCACTCCCAAAGCATGCCGCTTGGAGTGCTTACCGCGGTGAGCGGGATGTCACTCTCTCGCATCAGGATTTGGTAGTATCCGTCTACCAAATCCAGCGCACTGTACAGTACGCTCCCGGCCATGTTGTTCAACAACACATCCTTTCGTGGGATCGGTGTTTGGGCCGGCACCGTTGCGTTGTTCAGCTTGTTATAAGCGTGAACCAGACGCCACTTTCCGTTCGGCTTACGAACGCAGAAAGTCGGCGTCGAGTGCGGGGATTTCGACTCCCGCACCATGCCTGCCTTCGCTTTTGCGGCGAAGAAGGCATCAATGACCTCGCACTGTTCGCGCGGGAGAGGCCATTGCCTCGTGACACAATACTTTGTGCCGGGCACGAGATCAATCTCGTGCCGTACGCCTCGATCCGGTGGGAGTTGGGTCGGTGGGTGTTTGTTCACCACGTCCGCATACTCCGTCACCAAAGGATACACCGGATCCTTGGGGTTCTTGAGAATCTCAGAACCCAAGCGCGCCTGACGCTGCTTGTTCATGTCTTCCAGGACGTTCTCGTCCAAGACAGAGGAGGAGTTCAGCTCCTCCTGAGTGGTCTCAGGTCTTATGAGTACCATCTCAGCAATCTCTCCAGCCTTGAGGTTGGCCAGGAAAGACTCAGCCGTCATTTCCTCGAGGTTCAGTATCTCCGCAACCTCTGGCCACGGTTCCAAGTGGACACCAGATGCCTTGACGGGTAAACCTGTCTCGCCATCGAAGATGTGATAACACTCTTCCACCGGCCTTGTCGGAGGAGCCCGGGCCCTGGACTCCGAGTCGCTTGAAGCGACGTCGATCGGAACGAAGTTCGGATCCGACTTGAGGCGGCGGCGGTGTCTTTGCCGACGGCTTCTGTGACGGGGAGCTTTGCTGCCCACGTCTAGGGATGTCGTCGCTACGACATCCGAGGCACTCGTGGCCTCGTGTGGTACTGTTGTACCCACACAGGAAGCGTGTTCAACGCCTTCCTCTTCAGTTAAGGTCTGGGCGACCGCGTGTGGCACTGTGTTACCCACACAGGAAGCGTATCCGACGTCTTCCTCTTCAGTTATGGTCTGGGCGACCGTGAGTGGAACTCTGTTACCCACTCTGAACACGCTGTTCTCAGTGTTCATGACAGCTGCAGCTGTCTGCGGAACTAAGTTACCCGCCTGTGGACCTAAGTTACCCACTTGGCCGGCGCCTCTTCTGGGCGCGGCCACCATCAAAACATCCTCGGAGTCGTCATATACGTCGACGACTCCCAAGCATCTGCCGGATGCTTTGGTACCCTGGCAGCCCTCGCGGGCGCCCCGGTCCTGACAGAGGTGGGAACATGACTCACCAATGCTCTGTCGGACTGCGCAGGGCGGCTGGCACCGATTGCCTTGCCTCGCCAGTCGATCCAGGGCTCGTGCTTCTCAAGCCAGGGCATGCCCAGGATCATATCATATGGATCCATATCGAGAACAGTGAACTGTTCGAGGCTGTCAAAGTCTTCAAACTTGACAGCCAGATCCACTTGGACGTTGGGGACAGTGACGACCTTCCCGTCGGCCAGTCGCACTGACACCGTCCCGTTGCCCTTGCTTTCTCGCAAAGCTTCGGACAACTTGTTGCTGTTACGAGCAACCGTCTGGCGGCGTGCGAAATTCTTCGACGCCCCAGAGTCAATCAAGATTCTAAAGGGGTGATCGTACCCCCGTACACATCCGTGTACTACGAGCAACCCGCCGCTGCTCTTCGCCGATTCGAGAGTGCGAAGACTCTCAGGGGCTAAGTCCCCGTGGTACGCGCCACCCGCGCACCCATCACGAAGACTTAGTTCTTCCCCAGTAGGGCGCCCCGCCCCTACTGGTTCCCTGCGTTCCCCTGTCCCCGGGATCCTGGCTTCTGCCAGCGACCCTTGAGGACGGGCTTGGGGAAGGACCGTCTGCGGAGTCTTTCCGCGGGACAGTCGCGCTTGAAGTGGCCCATCTTCCCACAGCCGAAGCAGCGGATGTCACGCTGTTCGGCGGACCCGAGTTTCATGGGAACTGGTCCGTTGGGGCTTGTTCGACCGGGAGCCGACAAGGAACTCCCAGGCCACGCTGAGGCCGGCGTACGCGCCTGGCGATGGCTGTATTCTTCTTGAAGAGCCACTTGAATCGCCTCTTCAAGGGTGCTAGCCTGCACCCGGAACAGCTGAGTGCGTGCGGGGCCCACTCGAAGGCCGTCCATGAACACAGTCATCTTGATGTGTTCATTGAGTGGGTTTCCCACTAGGGACGCCGTGAGCTCCCGTATCTCTTGCACATACTCGTGCAGTTCGCGTCTTCCTTGTTTACACGCGAGGAAGCGCGAACGCTGGCGGTACTCGTAGTTCGCCGGGAGGAACGCGGCTCGGAGCTGTTCGCACAGCTGAGCCCAGGATGTGAAACATCCAGGGGATGTCGCTTCCCGAGTGTACACCCAACTCTTAGCACGACCGCTAAGGTTGGAGAGTGCAAAAGCAACACGCAGTTGCTCGGTCGAGATCAGAGCCGCGTCCATCGCAAGCTCTACTTCTCGGACCCAGAAGTGAAGGTTCTCGCCTTCCTTCCCTTCATACGGCTTTACCTTCAGCCGTATTGGCTTCGGGTGAGGCGGGTTTGCTCCCGCCGCCGGAGCCTGCAGGTTCTCCCGCACATGCGCGATGAGGCCCTGCTCGTACGCGTCGAATGCATTGACGCGCTCGAGCTGCTCAGCCGGTGTTGATACCACCAGGCTCTGCAGGGCCTCCATCCCGAAGATGCCTGCCATCTTCCGAACCGACTCGAACTGAGAGTCGTTCATATGGGAGAAGTCGTTCCTATCCATGGCAACGAACTTCGGAGGTTCAGGTAGTCTACCCGCGATGGCGTGGATTGACTACAAGTGCTACCAAGTGTGACGGGGTCACACAGCACCTTGCGCTAGAGGAAGTTATCTTCCGAGAGTATACAAACTCTCAGTGAACGGCAGTTCACAGGTCCCCTCTTTAATTAAAGAGAGCGAAGTGACCTAAATAAGGTAGATTGTAAACTGAGTATATTTATAGGTAGGTTAAGTTTGTGGTTAATACAAACTATCAGTTACCTATAGAAATGCAATGTCATTTAACCAATGGTTGGTTTTGAATGACCTTGGTACCTTGTACCAAATATCCCGGAGTATGACATGTCATACTCCTGAAGTGTGAAGTGTCACACTTCATGTAACCAGGGTACACTTAGTGCTACGTACCCCGTTACACCTATTATATCACCAATTATCAGATACATACTACTTTTTTTCGTTTAAAAAAATAAACACTTGGGCATCCATCCAGCCTATAGGCCTGCGTCGCACACTGTATATCTCCTGAGCGATACAGTGCTTGCCTGGTCCTTTGACGGTGTCAGCAGGCGCATGAAAGGTCTGTGAAAAAAACATCTTGCAGCAAAAAGAGTACTGCTTTCCGGTATAATATTAATCAAAAAATGAGTAGGAGTAGTATAATGACTAATGCTCAATTGTAGTCTAGGCTTTAAAACGGACATCTGCAAAGCACAATACATGTAGATAATTTAATTCAGACATCCGTTGACAGGAAACCGGTAAAGTACCGTTATTGAAAAAAAAATCGACGTCCTGTCAAGAATTTCATCCAATTTTACGAATTAAGTACGAAACTACTTTTTTTTCTCATTCCAGATTCTGCCATGATGCTGGTGCTGTTCTGTGTGATCATTGGCGAGGCGGACAGTGCGTTCATGGTGACACTGGACGAAGGCGTCTCAGTGGGCCAGTTAAAGAAGGCGATCCTGGATGCGCACCCAAAGAGCTTGAAGGACGTTGAAATGAAGGAGCTGCAGCTTTTCGTGGCCAAGACAAATGATGGCAAGTGGTTGGGAGGTGAGAGTGAGGTCGCGAAGGAACTCAGTAGCGGGAAAATTCCAAACTCGATTCAGGACGTGATTAATGGAGAATCGATACTGACATGGACGACTCTACAGGACTGGTTATTCACGAAGAACAGTATGGACCAGCCCTCTTTCAATCAAATTCACGTTTTGGTGAAGCTGAAGAACAACCAGCCATGTGCACTCGGTCAACGGTCTGTGGAGATGAACGACTCTAAGAAAGACGAGCCGGTTGCTAAAAAGCGAAGGATCCAGAAATACATTGCGTCCACTGGGCCACTGAGGGAAGACGACTACTCCGTTCCTTTGGACACTATCGAGGCTTTTAAACAGATTCAAAATGGCTTTTCAGGAAATGATTGCCCGCTCTATATGCTGTATGGCCCTCGTCAATTCGGCAAAAGTACAATTGCTCGTGGTATCGAAAGATTGTTTTGCAGTCATTCGAACATCATACCCGTGTATTTCGAAGTTTCGGCAGAGATCGCGAGTAACGAGGCCACATTTTGGCGCTACTTAGGGAAAATGGTCGACGCAGAAAGCGAGTGTCACGATTCCATATCGTTGTTGATGTTAGTTACAACGTGCGCTGGTCGCGACAAAAAGAAGTTGTGCTTGGTTGTGGATGAAATGGATCGTCTGTTCCAAAACCCCAATTTGTTAACCAGCTTTCTGGGACTTCTTCGGGTGTGGAAGTTCCAATCGCCGAGCGTCTTCCTGGGTTTTCTTGGGGTTGGCAATTATGAGCTGCTAAATCACTACTTGGTGTTTCATGGCGATAATGATTCGAGTCCCTTTAACGTTTCTGAAACAATTAAGGTTGAGAAATTTTCAAACCCCCAGATGAGCGACTTCTTTATGGAGATGAAGCCGCGCTATCCATTTACAGACTCACTTCAGCTGGGAATCATGAATCTTTCTGGTGGGACCCCTGGTGTGTTGGGATCACTTGTTCGTTTCACGGCTGATGAAGGTAAATACCAGCTTGAGTTTGAAGAATGGGAGGAGTGGTTTTTTGGATTGCTGTTTTCAGTGTACCTGAAAGAATACAATCGCACCTATGATCGCATTCTTCAAGATTTACACAAATTGAATGAGACAGAGTGGTGGATTCTCAAACAGGTGCTTGGGGGAAATGACGATCTCAAGGCTAGGTATGGAAACGCAGATCACTTACTGCGGATGGGAGTTGTGATTAAACTGCGCACTGATGCACTGGTCATCGTCTCGCCGATGATGAAGCGACTGTGTCTCGAAGCGCTTCCCAGACGAGATATTCGTGAAGCAATTACTGGCGATGACCCTATCCAGCTCTTAGTTGGTGCACTCGCGTACGTTGACCCGAACCAAATTGCACAATTGCTCGCGCAGAATCGGCAGTCGGCAAGTGAAGCCATTTTTCACCACGAACTTTACGCAGTGATACGTGATATCTTGTCGAAGGATGGTCAGGGTAGAAAACAAGTTTGCCCTGAAGCAAAAACAGTCGACTCCAGAACCAGAGCGGATATTCTTATCATCAACGGGATAAGGTTCGCATACGAGTTGAAGGTAGACCTTTTGGCTGAATGCCCCAAGATGAATGCTGCCGCAGCACAAGCAAATGGGTACAAGAAGCAATTCAAAGTTCAGCACATGCTGGTTGTGAATTTTATTCCGAGTGGACACCAGTTCGACAAAGTGTATCGAGTGGAAGCACATCCTTCGGTTGAACTCGTTCACGTCACGTATTCTGAGTCCTTCGATCATTACACCATCTACTATCTTCCAGAGAAGGTCATTCCTGAGAGCGAAAAGAAAAGTTATTTTGGAAAGCTGCAGCCTCATCTTCTGGAAAAGCTCGAGGTTCGCGATGTCACCTGTCTGGCGAAGCCAGCGAGGAAGTCGTCTTTCCTCTTAGATGACGTGGAACAGAAAACGGAGGCAACAACGTTATCGGAGTAACCAGTACAAAATAACTTTGGGTTAAAGCAGTCTTAAGCAGATTGTAGCTGATTGAATGTTCGGGCCCGTTTCCCAGTGCGACCCACCAGTTCTCGACCTGTAGGAGTGAGTTACTCGTGTGTCGCAGCCTAGCACTACATGCGTTCACCAGACCCAATTTCTTCTTCTCTTCTTCGTCCTCTTCATGCACCTTGACACTGATAGCTGGCCGTTCTGCTGCACCTTCATCCTTATTTCGACATTACAGTTACAGAACTTGACAAACTCTGTGTATACGGGATCTGTTCTACGCGATTCGCTGCTCCATTGGAACCATCTGCGCTAGGTCCATCGCCGCCAGCGCAGGCTTCAACCACCTATTGGAGCTGATCACATCCACCATAGCGTGTATGGTGTAAGAGAAGCACAGCGTGTCGCAAAAAGAATGCGCTGGGCTCAGACGCTCATGCTGCTTGCTGAAGCAAACCAGCAGCAGCATGTTCGTCTAGACGTACGCCTGGCCGTAGACTCCTTTAGCAGCCACCGGGATCTTAAAGTGCTTGGCTAGACCCTCCACCTTCTTGTCTTCCTGTAGCAGACGACAAAATTGTCAGAAAGCGCACGCACCTTCGAGTCCAACTTCAGACTACACGCGAACAGCTTGAAATTTAAGGTCGTGAACTTGATGTACGAACATACCCAGATTCATTGTCACCAATTGCTTCTCGCCTTCGTCGTCGTCTTCCACCTCCAAAACCTGGATACAGCTCGACTCTACTAACGCATTCACTCGAGTTCGTCGCGCCCTATAGTTGTGTGTGTGTGTTTTTTTCTTCTAAAGCCTTGGTATAAAACCTCAAACCCTCAAGAATCAGAATACTAAAATAGATACTACTACATGTAGTAGTGTTTGGGTGCGAAGTCTAAGGAACTGTATTTGGCCGTGTTCGACTTTATTATCAGAAAATTCATTGGGGATCCGCTTGGTATTTCAATTTCCAAAACGGTTTAATACTTTAGCACTGCACTGATGGACGTGAACATTGGTACCTATGCTCGGCTCATAAACTACTAGCCGAGCGCCTCCTCCTCGCGGCGGGAGCGTATGCTTGTTAATGGACCGTGTTACGCATTCGCTCCGCTCGCCACGGGTTCGCGCACTACTCGCATGGTTAGTTGGTGAGCTGTGGCTGGGGCGGGCCCTCCGGCCCCGCAAGCTGCCGTCTTAGGCCGCCTAATTGCAGGTTCTATTTTTGCCAATAAAAACCGTTTATGTTCCGCTCAGCAGCCAATGAGAATGCTCAAAAATCTGAGATTTTGTGTGACGCATGCTGACGCCGTGCTAGCGTTTGACAGTTTAGAACTGGCGCTCTGGTCGCCTGCTCCGCGGATGATTGCTTGGTGTAGTAAGGGCTGGCCGCCCCCACTGCTCTGCGGTGGATTAAAAAGTACGTAGAAACCAAAGTTAAATGTATAATATGTATTACGTGATCTACCAATTCCGCGTCCCCAACATCTCCCTGTACACAATATTGTTGGTGTACAGGTTCCCATCATCATCGATCGCCTCTGCGCCCACAGCAATCTTGCTTTCCTTGAAGTGCCTCTTGACAACGCCACATATAGCTGTCCATGTGCGAGCACCGGTGATTCGAAGTAGATACCCACGTGTGAATCGACTGTCCTTGGGCCTTGTCGAAAGTCATAGCGAGCGCCCGAGCCACGGGGAACTCCTTCCCATCGTCCTCACTATAAAAGACGATCTGTAATGGGCCCCTCCATTACATAAGTAGGTAGATTTCGTTACATAAGTAGGTGCATCAGCACACGACTAGCGTGTGCTGAAATGCTGTCATGCCATTGGCTGATATATGGGAAGCCAGACCCATTATTAGCCAATTGGACTATGACGTGTATTTGAGTGGCCAGGGCTGTGGCCTTGGTCCTAAAATAAAGTCAGAGTTGGTTTTCCTTAAACCTAAGACTCAGTCGTCCTATTGCGAGCTTCCTCAACACTATAGTGTAAGCAAGTAACGGAGTAAATACCTGGCCCGTTACACCTGGTAGCACTTTGTAGTCCTTCCAACGACCAAGTTCGACATGAGCCAAGACCTCGACCACGCTACCTTTCTCCATCTCACTCGGATCGAGTCCACCGCCTCGCGGCGGTGTCCGAAGAAGCCGTCGTCACGTCGCTGCTGCGCTCAGCGACGCCCGACGAGCAGCGCGTTGCGGCACAAGAATTTATGGAACGCGAGATCGCCGATGCGAATCGGCGAGTGTCAACTCCCTCGTGTATCTCCACAAATGACGTCGTGAAGCTAGAGACGTCCACCTACTCCGGCGCCGGAGAAGATCGACTTCCGCTGAATCGCTGGTTTCGAGAGATCGACATCGCCATCGCCTCGAGGTTGATCGAGGCGCCTTCCGCGAAGGTCCATTTCCTCCTCTCGCGGTTGTCTGGGAAAGCCAAGGAATGGGCGCTCGGCAAGTTGGTTGTCGATCCCAACGTCTTCCCCACTCTGGATACCCTCCAGAGTAACCTTCGGCTCGCGTTCGAGCCGCCGCAAGATGAATCCCGAATTCGGGG